GGTTTACTCTGCTATTCACATTTGTCAACTACCTGTACAGGTATTTTTTTTAGTTTATGCAAGTGGCAAAGTTTCCTGATTGTATTCCTAAGAGAAGATAACTCTGATGCAGCCCAGTAATGATTCTGGAAACATTTCTGAAACAACTGTTTCCTATCATAGAATCATAGAAAAGTGAAGTTATAAGGGGCATACAAGGCCATCAAGTCCAACCCCCTGTTCAATTCAGGAATCAAAGCATGTCTCCCAAGTGATTTTTTTTTCTTAAATGCCTCTAGTGTTGGACCACTCACCAACTCCTGAGGTAGCTGGTTCCACTGTTGTATCGCTCTAACAGTTAAGAAGCTTTTCCTGATATTCAACTGAAATCTGGCTTCCTTTAACTTGAGCCCATTGTTGCGTGCCCTGCACTCTGGGATGATCGAGAGCAGATCTGGCCCCTTCTCTGTATGACAACCTTTCAAATATTCGAAAAGCGCTATCATATTTATTTATTTATTTATTTATTTATTGATTTGATTTGATTTGATTTGATTTGATTTGATTTATATCCCGCCTATCTAGTCGGTTAGGACCACTCAGAGGAGGGGCGAGATCTGTTCTCGATCATCCCAGCATGCACGACACGCAGCAATGGGCTCAAGTTAAAGGAAGCCAGATTTCAGTTGAATATCAGGAAAAGCTTCTTAACTGTTAGAGCGATACAACAGTGGAACCAGCTACCTCAGGAGTTGGTGAGTGGTCCAACACTAGAGGCATTTAAGAAAAAAAATCACTTGGGAGACATGCTTTGATTCCTGAATTGAACAGGGGGTTGGACTTGATGGCCTTGTATGCCCCTTATAACTTCACTTTTCTATGATTCTATGACAGGAAACAGTTGTTTCAGAAATGTTTCCAGAATCATTACTGGGCTGCATCAGAGTTATCTTCTCTTAGGAATACAATCAGGAAACTTTCCCACTTGCATAAACTAAAACAAATACCTGTACAGGTAGTTGACAAATGTGAATAGCAGAGTAAACCTCATACAGTATGACCAATAAAAACAATTCTATAGTAGGGTGAAGCTGTAGCAAAATGTACAGGACAATGGTAGAGAGCCCATCATCCTCCAGATGTTGAATTACAATGTCCATCATCCTTGACTATCTGTTGTGTTGGCTGTGGATGATAGGACATAGAGCTCAGCAACAGCAAAAAGACTACAGCTTCATCCTGCTATAGAATTATCTTTATTGTTCATATTGTATGGGGTTTACTCTGCTATTCACATTTGTCAACTATTTGTTTACACACACGCGCACACACACTCAAAAAAACACACATGGATTACAGAAAGAAAGATGT